AGCAATGAATAATGTTTAAAGTAATCGGGGAATAAATCGCGATTTATCGTAATAATCGCTAAAAATATCATTAAAAATCGGCGATTAATCGCGTTTCAGCTCACAATTATCGTTTCGATATGTCGCGATTAATCAGTAATTTTTCAGCGATTTTTACGACATGGGATATGCCACACTAGATGAAATAGAATATATGTGACAGGACGATGAGTCATCGATGTGTATGTATAGTGACTTTTCGTGGCTAAAGCAATTCTGCTTAAATTAGAACAATCTCCCTATCGATTGGTACCAAGATAAAGCAAGCGGGGTCGTAAACGATAGTGTGCAACAGTATTTCATCCGTAAACGACCACTGAGAACCCTCACCATTTTTCAAAAGTATCTAGAGGACGGTGGTTTACTGTATCGAAGAAAAATATTGTGAAATCAATTCCAAACGATGAGTATTTCCACGAATCGAACTATCCGTATACAGCCGTAATGCCACCTCGAAAATCCTATCAACCAAATAATTACTTCTACGGTAAATAACCTTACACAACAGTTTCCGTAATCCTAAACTCTGATAATCTAGAATGTCAACTTTCGTTGACTAAAGCACTACTACTAGTCATGTTCCAGGCGATCCTAGGGTTATCAAGGGTATCGTATCAAATGATCCGAGTATGTCTATGTTCCGTCTTTTATACAGCGAAGAAACAGAAACTCGCGGTTTGATGTGTCAAGGAGCGATAACTGCTTTCGATTTTTGTCGGTAGCTGTAGGTGATGATAGTTTTCTCTGGTTGTTTACGTTTAGTGTAATATACGGTACTTCAAAGTTTAGAATCTCTGTGTTCTTGTGCAGAAAATAGCTAACGTAAAGGGCGATCTGCAGTTTTATATTTGCTAAGCGTCAACTATGGGATCATTTTACTCTGGTCGTTTACAGTGACCCTTTCAAGTTGGAGCCCTGGAGGGTAGGGCCAGTTTAAAGATTTTTTACAGGGCAGGGTACAGGTTACTGTAATGATATCTTGTTAACCTGCGATATAATGCTGCCATCAGTATACTTAGAAGATTTTAAAGAATGAAATAAGGAATTTTGAATTATATGAAGTTATTTAGATGCATTTCCAGTACGAAGCATAATGATGTTTCATTTCTCATCCGGATAACTCATGACAGCACAAAAGACTAGTATCTGTTTAATATTTTCCCTTTTATTCAGAAGCGTTGGCTTTCTTAAGTTCAGATTCAATGGTATATTCGAGTGTTTCGAATATTAATACATCCGCACTGAAAACGCTGTCGATGTTAAATGCAACCATCACTATTCAGTATCTCATGATGACTGAGAGAATTTCCTGTTCATTCCTCAAAAAGCTAACTTTGGGTTGAAAAATGATGTCAAAGCTACTGTTCATTAGTTAAAATATTTGAACAAGTAAATTGAGTGATAGACACCACATGTACACGTAATGAACATCGAAATGATAAAGGTGTACACAATAGGACAATGCTTCATCCACAGTTATATCGAAAACTGTTATTAGCTAACATATAAATACATAAGTAAAATTATTAACTAATCCACTCGAAACAGGACTTTCATTGAAAAGTTTTGCAACATCTTATTTACCTCTAGTTAATGTAGAGCGATAGTGAAAACATAGCAACCTAAATTTAAAGAGCTGTGAGTTTAGATATTCTAGAAAATTTATGCAGGGCAGAGGAGGGCAGGGTCAGGTTAAGTAAATTTTTACAGTAAAGGCTACAGACCACGCGAGTTTCCTAAACTGAAGAAGCTTATTTACAATGACCATGTAAGACTGTCGTAGTGTACGACCGTAAACAGCTCACGTACACGATGCTTTCCGAACAGCGTATATACCAAGCTTATTGTTACGGTCATCGTTACCGATGACCTTTTACGACAGTAATACTCCGTAAAATATTTTTTACGACTTTCGTAAATGGCCCCCATAGACGCCTACCGTTTATGGCCATGATTGATTAGTATTCGATCGTTTGCGAGTTTGCTTCTTCCGCCTGGATCACATCAGTCAAAAACGCTTTTAAGATAGTTTTCAATGCATCGTCAGATTATAGATTAAAACTCTGATGACTTCTTGAACAGTTTCCTCTACGAATACATCTCGGGAAACTCAAAGTATAAACTAATATTCTAAAAAAGTGACAGCTTTCAAATGTAAGATTGATGATTTTGGTGATTTTAATATCATCAAAATCTAAAAAAATCAAAAATTAGTCGTTTCCCCCTTGAGTTTATTACAATTTCAAAATAAAATGGAAAATATTCGTGATACCCAAGGTTCTCAGTCGGTATAACCAATATTACACCATGTCACTATTGAAAAAAATATGTATCATATTCTAAATAAATAATTGATCAATAAATTCCATAATTAATCAAAGCTTACAAATTTCCATAGTGAATTTCCATAGTGAATTTCCATAAACATTTCCTTAAACACCCAAAAGTTCCAGTATTCATAGTCTAAACAACAAATTACAGTTTAGTTCATGTAAAATATGTAAATTCTTACTTGAATCCTTCATCATATGAATCCAACAGTATAAATGAACTCATAGAAAAAGTCTAAGGAACATATTGCATCACTACGCATTTGTAACAGATAACAACACTGTGTTTTAAATAAAAACAATATCGATTGAGGATTTTTAATACTTAGCAATGTTTTGTAGACACTGATGATAAAATCATTGATTCAGTTTTTTTTATTATGTCTATTAGATAATCAATATTGTATTGATTAAAATTGCATAAAGCGTAATTGTGGAGAGAACTTCAATTGATGTAAAATGAATAAACATAGTGATAAGTTTCCAACAAATTAAATAATAAAACGGTTAACAAAAACGTAAATGTACAGTTGAATGAAATAAATAAGAAAAAAAAATATTATTATAAAATTGGTTCATCTGGAGATTGAACTGATGAAATCTCTTGTTCATGATGATAATGAAGCAAAGGTTTATAATTTGTATCTTCATTATCGTCGTCTGTTTCTTCAATAACATTTTGTCGTGTATGATAACGAAGTAGAGGAATAAATGGGCCATCAGACATCTTATCGTCATCACCAACTTCTTTAATAAAAGCAATAAAGCTTTTTGTGCTATCACTTCTACATTTACGTTTAAGTTTTGATCGATTATGTAATTGTAATAATGGTTCAAATGTCTTGTTTCTAATGCAGTTGTTAATACCCGATGGTGGAACTTGAATATGTTTGCCATTTGAATCAATAATAAATAATTCGACAATTGTTTTTGGTTGTTTATGATTTATATGTAGTTCGCCCCCAATCAGCTCATGTTCAAGCGCATTGCCACCGTCGAATTCTTCTGAATCTGAATATGATGTGAAGTATGGTATTTCTGGTATTGTTTGTATCTTTGCTCCAATATAATTCACTGCATGAGTAATCTCGTGCGCTAACAAGATGACCAAAAATAAAAGACTTGCATCAGCAGAAATGTTGCTGCGGTATACTAAAATGAAAGAAGACATACTAGTTATCACAGGCATATAAATGTTCGAAATGAAATATTGCTTTATCAAGATGACATATTTGATTTTTTGATTATATAAGCGTCCTAATATAATAATTGCTCAATGAGTAAGATAAAGCAAATCAAAAAACGTATCATTGCAGCCTGATGAGAAGCCAAGGTATGAAACTCATAAACTTCGACTGTTACAAATTTATGATATACTGTCAGAAAGCTCAAAACAATTTTTATATTTGATACGTGTGCTAAGAAACTATCGTTTCGAAAATGTTTGCATTTAGAATTATTATTTTATTAATGTCAGCACATAATAAATATATGTAGCTTTGTATTTATTTACTTTATTTTTCATGTTCTTTTTTCAAGCTTTAGTTACTACAGGAATATAATTTTATCAATGTAATTATTCGTTATGACAACACTTTGAATTCTCTATAATCCTATAAACTTCTTTTTTCTCTTGCTTTAAAGTTCTGATGATTAATGTAAATATAGGGTAGATGGAACTATAAAAAAAATTTATCGAGGTTTTTGTTATCATTTTCATTTGTATTCCAAGTTTGGTATTCCTATGGAATGGAACTTTAAGCATGTAACGACATATATTCGTAGTTTGAAATTCTCTATGATTCTAAACTTTAAAGAAAAACAAAGAAATAGTTGAATAATAAAAGTTTTTTGGAGTTTGTCATCGGGTGTGTCTGGGTAATATCCTCAGTATTGATAAGAACATAGATATAAAATATGGCGAAACTATATAGGATGATAGAGGATTTGAAGCTCTATCAGCGTTCATAATAATTTTTATGAAGAGTTCATTCTCATAAAAGTAAAAAACTTGCAAAGAAAACCAAAAAGTAGAAAAAGCTTGAAGATTTTCGACGCCTGTCAATTAACGGTAGATTGAATGAATTCAATTTTATTTTCTCGCAAACAAACACAAAACAAAAGACAAACATACAGAGTGATAGAGAATTTCAAACTCTATTAAAAAATATAATTACTTTTCTTTTAGAAAGCTATTCCTTTATTGATAATTACTTGAAAAAGCTAATCAACGACAAAGAGTCAAAAACCAGTCCGTGGAAATTTGACGATGAAGGTGCTTTCATTGCATTCGAGTTAATTTTCGGAAAATCGATGCAAAGTAAAACATATATATATATACAGACTGATAGAAAACTCTGAACACTTTCAGAATATAAAATTATTTTTTTTATAAATCATTTTTTATTGTGGCAATATATTTGAAAAACAGACTATAGCTATTTTTTTCCAGATATATATATTCACTACAGATGATGGATTGCCAAGCCCGACGGCTTTGAATAATATTAATTAGTTTGATTTTATTGTTATAAAAAAATTCATATGATAATATTTGTCATGATTTTCTATACAATTCTATTCAATGGTTCTATTATCTTATTATGCTCCTCAACATACATGTTATATTACTATTAGTAATCGTTCATATCATTATTAGTATCTACGTTCGTACATATATGAAAATAAAGTAAAAAATAAAAATTTGCACATATTGTTTATGTACTCTCATTAGTACCTATGCAAATCCTACGTACGAGAAATACTATTCTACTAATTTATTAGATAAAATTTAGCCTTGTTATACTGAAAAAAACTTATTTCTATTCTCAGATACATCATCAATACATAACTTCTTTTTTTCCGTCGATTCAATTACTATATTAGCGCAATATGTACATTGATTTAATCTTTCAGTAAGATACCGGAACACCATTCTGTCTCTTGACGAACTTTAACATATACTGTTGAGTTTTGCTTAAACATAGATTGACATCTATGCTACGATACTTTTGTTGCATTAAATACTAAAACCTGACATATAGACTAGTTAGATTTGGCGAATTTTAAAATGATCTAAGCACTATTATTACTTACATGTCTCTTCTCATAACTATGGAAACGTGACAAATGATCTCGAACCACCTTGCCCTCGTGGGTATGAAATCGCGTTCAATATCTCTTTACTGTTATTCGTCCCACTCTCGGTCACCAGGACTGACGGGGGTGAGGAAGCCGCAAAAATCTCGATTCACATATCCACTCAGAATTATTTTCTTCGAAAAAAGATCTGAGCTCCACAAAAAAACATAATTTTCAATCTCAATCAACAACTCAAATATAATTTATTTCTTTTTTTTTACATAATAATAAAATTCCCTACTTTCTAATGTATCTTTATCAAACACTATTGGATTGATTTCAATAAGAGCTTTATCTTCAAATCTTGTTGTTGTAACATATTCTTTTGTTCGAACCGAGTCCAGTACATCTGATGATGCTTTTGCATCTGGATGAACAAATGCAACTATTATCTTTTTTGCAATTAGTCTTGTAGTAATTGGTGGAGTGAATAAAAGTTGAATTACACGTGAATTTGG